AGCGTATACCACGGGTAGAATTGTAGTTACTTTTCACAACAAGTCAGTATCCCTCCGCGTCTGAGAAAAGCAACAACTGTTACATTACGTCCGTTACGAAACTAACTAACTAACGAAGCTTAAGATGGAAACATGTAAGGGATAATGTGCAGCAAGGACTTATTGACCGTTGTTAAAGGACGCTCACATCTGCAGAAAGAAGTCCGGTCGATTTAACTGTATACAGTTGGGCTGAAAAGCAAACCGCATGCTGTTTGCTTTTCAAACTGGGACAAGAAAACAGCGGAGAAGTAACGGGGCAGAATTCATACTTGCCAACCTTGAGACCTCAGAAATCGGGAGCATTTCAAAACCACCGTGGGGGGGTTCTAGTGGATCGCCGCCGGAGCTGTCAACATCAACATTAACATGCTTATTGTAGTTGCGGCCTGTAGCACCATCCTTGACGGAGCATGTGTGTGGGCTGGACCTGTGTTTTACAGGAAAGGAGTGAGCAGAGGGGAGAGTTGTGGATTCTTGTTCTGTTTTCTGGGACTATCTTCCTCACCATGCTGAACACCCTCTCAGAATTTCAGTTGCGCGCGCTACTAAAGAGACGCGCTACCATGGAAACCAAACAATTGTGTAGCTGTATTAAAGTCCGAGTGGAAACAGTCGTGACTAAATCTGATTTTGTCAGAAATTGGGAGAAATGCGGAAGAAATATGACCCCGGGAGGAAACCGGGAGAGGGCAATGAAATCGGGAGTCTCCTGCGAAAATCGGGAGGGTTGGCAAGTATGGGCAGAAACCCTCCTTTTTACGCAAAGGTCCAGACATAGACATCAAACGGCAAAACATATTCAGTGTGCAGTTCCTTTGGCATTAGGGCAGGGATATCTAGATACTTCCCAAGGTTTGACATAATGAATTGTGCTACTTTTAAAGCAAGCAATGATGTTTTCAAATCTGTAATCAAAAAGGTCCGCAAAAACGCTATCGACCAATCAGATTGCCTGATTTGACTTGTCCGTTTTATAAATATATTTACATTTCGTCCGTTACGAAACTAACTAACTAACTAACAAAGCTTAAGATGGAAACATTTAAGGTTAACTTCGACCTCCGGGGTGGTCTTACTATGGAGGAGTGGATTGAGGAGTGCCTATCTCCAGAAAGCACCTAAACGACGACATGTAGAGCTACGTGAAGAGCAGGTAGACCAACTGGAAAAGTATCACCATTCAAAAGCTTTCTGATGCGGGTCTTGAAACAAAGCAGAGAAATGATGACCGTTAGTGGCCACAGGTGCGAAAGCTCTCTCCAGAGCTACTGGAAGCCGAATCTCGGGGACCGGAGAAAGTGGAGCAATATTCTCGCCACGCCAAGCAACAGCCTAGAACAACCTCAGCCTATACAAGTAACCACGTAAGCCATGCTACTGATGCTGGACAGGTTTTCAGTGGCTGCACAATAAACGGCAGCATACACATTAAAGGTAGGGTAGGTAAGTTTGAGAAACCGGCTCGAGATACACTTGTTATATTCCATGGAATGCTCTTAACATCCCGATAGCAATGAATATCTGAAGTGCTTTGACAAAAAATCCATAATAAAATATCATCTGTGGAAGCCGTAATACTGTAAAAAGCACGACCAATCATCTGAGCCGGCCCTGCTAAAATAACTGGATGGCCTACCTGCCTGTCAGCCTTCCATCTGTGCACAAACTTATCTCGTGCCCTCATTGGTCATGTGCGCGTTCGTGTGTGTTGGAGGAGGGGCTCTGTGAGGAAGTGGCAGATTTTCTCCGGTTGTGTATTTTCAAATTCTAGCGATCTCGAGCCGGTTTCTCAAAAATTACCTACCCCACCTTTAATGTAAATAAATAGCCAAATAATGGATCAACGCTCTCTGTCTAATATGTTCGCTAGCTGTTAGTGTTGTTGCATAGCAACCACCTCGCACTATGTTTCGTGCAGAAGGCAACGGAGGGACTATTTTACTTTGAACATCATTATTTACTAATAAAAACTATTGAAATTAGAGTGTGTATTTTTCTTTCATATTGCCACACTTGGTAACCTCTTCGCGTCGGGCCGACCTACGCCCCTTAGCTGTGATATAATGAGCATATACCACGGCCTGTCGTGAGCTATTGCTTAAGTAGAATATGATATGTACAAGAACAGAATAATAAATTAAATAATGTACTTTAAGACGACATTAAATACGGTTTATTGTGGTGATAACTATTTATATAAATAAGTAGATTACAAGATGACAAACGGATGACTGTTTATCGAGGCACTTTACATAGCTCAGGTGTTTAGCAGTCTTATTTGTACATTCAAATTTTAAAGATGTATTCTTAATGCAGTAATGACCTGCTGCGTATTTTGGTTTTTGCACAAGAGGATCAAATGTGAATGGATGTAAGAGATATGTCATGCATCATTTTATTAGCAGGAGTGGTCAAGATACGTACTATTTAGTTTAGGTAACTGGACATTACTTGAGTATGTTCTGCTTCTTTAAACTTACTGTGAGAGGAAATAGTTGCACTTTTCCCTACACTACATTTACAGATCAGATAAACAAAACTTAATGAACTCATGAATTGTGATTGCATTATTAGTTTTTTCCATAAGGTGATAACATGGTAGTGCTTAAGATATGTGCTGGTTTCTAGGTATTTTCTGCTACTTCATACCTTCACTGTCAGAGGAAAGGGTTGGACTTTTTATATAAATAAGTAGATTCTCTCTCTCGGTTTATTTAAACACTCAGTCCTCTTAAGAGCTGAAAGTAGGTCACTGTAGACCAGGAAGGAGCTCAAGTGTGCCTGGTCACCAGCAGCTCCTCCTTAGCTTAGCATGCGGCTAAGCTACGCTGCTACACACGGTTCCCTCCTTATGTAACGCTGAGTTTTCACAGCCGTTTCCATGGTGTCTGTCTGAGATCACAACACAGCATGTCTGCAACCTTGTGCATGGTGCCGGGGAAAGTTCTTTCTCCACGTTCCCTCTCACAGCTAATGGCTGCAGAAAGAGGAAGTCGTTTCCATGCTTTATTTATTTAAATATCACCATTTGTTTTGTGTTCACATCTCGTATGCAGCAGATAAATCGCTCCATATTGAAATCCAAGTCCATTAGCCGCCATCAGATTGCTGTGCAGATGATGGTGGTAATTAATAAGGCATTACTTTGATCAATAATTGATTTGTCTTTCATTAAGTGGCTTGGAGTTCAGCCTGACTCGCAGGGTGGGAGGAGGAGCAGAGGGAAGTAAATGGAAAACAGTTTTTATCTTTTTAAATACACAAATCTTATTTTTTCTCCAAAACTAGATCGATATTTCTGATGTTGGACAAATATCCTACTCACATAGTAAAAGAAATCTCACAAATACAACATTTTCCATGTTTTTTATGTGCATTTAATTTTTTTAAAGTGCCATATTTGAGAGAATAGTTTCTCTAATTGAGTAAAAAGTGAAAATATGTGCAATTTTTTGCATCAATTAAAGTTCCCTTTTGTCTTAGGCTTACCCTTTTTTGTGTTTAGATGATTGCATTCATTGGATACAACCATTTAAATGATAAAAACTAGATGAGAAATTAACCCCTTATGTTCTGAATCCAGAATCCATTTGCAACTGACCCAAAAAACGGAAATGAAAGCGTGAAAAAAGAACCCCTCGTTTGCATGCTAAAACTCTGCAGGTCTCCCAAAATCAAGTTGCTCCAAAGAGCTCTACATAAATCTAGATTGAGAACACAACATGCGTTCATATCATAACCTGATGCATGACATCTCAGAGCAGCAGGAGCAGCTTGTCACTCTGGATTGCACCAAACATGATTTCCTTCTCTCTGAGATCTCGTGCTCGGCAGAAATGAGATTTCAACGTGACGGTTCCTCTCAGAGTGACCCTCCTCGGTAAACACATGTTGTGATTGTAAAGCCTCTCTGCGAGCGAGCTTCTCTTGGTATCGTGTAACGAAACAGTCTCTTCTCTCCGTGCTGTGGGCAAAGCGCCGTGTTCTCATTTCAGAGTCTCCAGGGAGAGAGGCGCCATCAGAGAGAAGTGATTGAATCTCTCTCTGTGCTCCATTTTTGTGTGTGTGTGTGTGTGTGTGTGTGTGTGTGTGTGTGTGTGTGTGTGTGTGTGTGTGTGTGTGTGTGTGTGTGTGTGTGTGTGTGTGTGTGTGTGTGTGTGTGTGTGTGTGTGTGTGTGTGTGTGTGTGTGTGTGTGTGTGTGTGTGTGTGTGTGTGTGTGTGTGTGTGTGTGTGTGTGTGTGTGTGTGTGTGTGTGTGTGTGTGTGTGTGTGTGTGTGTGTGTGTGTGTGTGTGTGTGTGGTGTGTGTGTTGGTGTGTGTGTGTGTGGTGTGTGTTGCATTTAGGCTACACAAGAAAATAGGGCTGTGCGATTATGGCAAAAATCATAATCACGATTATTTTGGTCAATAATTGATATCACGATTATTAAATACGATTATTCATCGACTTTGAAAACATCCATTTATTGAACTTTTAAATACAAATAATAATTTGAACAGTATCTTTTTAACTGTTGATTTCCCTGAGCGTATAATTCAACTGAAAACCAATACAAAAATAAATTAAATAAATGATACATTTAAATAAATAATATCAAAATAATAAATACCAATAAACAAGATCAACAAATATTTTGGAGCGCACTTCCACAAGCTACTAAACATATATAAATATGATAAATACAAATAAATTAGATCAAATATGTTGCACGGTCACAACCTAGCAAAGCAAAATAATTGTTTTTTTCGATTATGTTGTTTTCGTAATTGTGGCAGGCCAAAATCGTAATTGCGATTAAAATACGATTAATTGCACAGCCCTACAAGAAAACGTCTTCTGTGTATTTCCAGCTGAGTTTATAGTCGGTACGTCGATGCATGCACGAACATATGAAGCTTTTTTTTAGAATTCACACGTGTTTTCATACATTTTCCGTCTGTGTTTTTTCCTTCTCTAGACGCTGATATGCATTGAGGATGAGTGGAGTCGGTGAAAACCCATCTGACCCTGCCAGGGCAGAGTCACGGAAACGCAAAGAATGTCCTGCAGAACTTCTAGGACCCAGGTAAGACTTTTGAGGCATTTCTACTACATTTCTTAACTATACAAGTATGATGGAAACAGTCGTTTTCATGCAGCCGAGGCCAGTGTGTGTGTGGTCAGCGACTGTGACCCCTGCTTTGCAAAATTACCCGTTGCAAAACCATCAATTACCCATTTACCAAAGGTGATGGTTAGAGTAAAAGCCGGCCAGCCACATCTTAAATCCTGTACAGTAACAACCGGGTAGTCCCCATGAATGTCTGACTGCTCTAACCCCGGAGCACTGAACAATAAATCTGCATTATTTATCTGTAGACATGCACTCAAGGAGGAGGGTTTCCTTTATTGATGCTCCATGTTGGCACCATGCAGAGGCCTCGGGATGCATTTCAAGCCATATGGAGAATAATTGACCCTCTTAAGGTTGGCAGCAGTCATTTGGCAGCTGCTTAATATCTTGACACAACAAGATATTTCAAGTCTTACTGTTTGTTTACCTAGACATTTCATTTAAATACTACAAACAAACCTTTTTTTAATGACGAGTCAAGATGTTGACCAGACTGAGTTACGTCATGAACTGTGACGATCAAATCAAATCAAGTTTTATTTATATAGCACATTTTTCAAACGATTTGTGGTCGAGACAAAGTGCCGTACATACAGTAAAAATACTTTACAATAAAGACACTTTACAACCAATACAACTGCACAGAATATCAGTATGAGAAAACGACACCCTCTGTCCTTAGACCCTCTGTCCTTAGACCCTCTGTCCTTAGACCCTCTGTCCTTAGACCCTCTGTCCTTAGACCCTCTGTCCTTAGACCCTCACATCGTACAAGGAAACACTTCCAGAGAAACCCTACAGTTTAAAGGGGAACATGGGAGAAACCTCAGGGAGAGCAACAGAGGAGGGATCCCTCTCCCAGGACGGACAGACGTGCAATAGATGCCGTGTGTAAATCAAAGAGATAATACATTTACAGCGTAGGTAGACCAAATGTTTGGAAATGCATGTGTCTATAATAAGAAGATGAATCCACGAGGATGTCAAACAATCCTGTGGGAGCCATCAGGGAAGTAGTATGATGAGAGTCAGGCAGGACCACAGAGACAGGTTTAGCCACGACTCGAAGTCCAGGACTCAGGATAGAGGATCCAGGACTCAGGATAGAGGATCCAGGACTCAGGACCACAGCAACAGGATCAGCCACGACTCAGGATCCCGGCGTAGATATAGACACAAAAAAGAAAGTACAGATACAGGTACAGACAGACAAAAGGAAGAAGTAAGGTGTCCCCCGACAGTCTAAGCCTATAGCAGCTAAACTAACGTGTCTACGTACATGCACTCCCTTAGGATAGGTTGAGGGAAAAGGGTAGTAGGTAAGAAGTAGGGAACAGAGGTGGAGAGGCACAATGTGTCTACGTACATGCACTCCCTTAGGGTAGGTTATCAACACGCAATATCATTGACAAGTAACGACAAAACTTGACTGAATATAATAAACTAAACTAATACGATAAAAGCCAGGTCTACGTTAAAAAAGATTGATATTTTAATCAATTAATGGAGAAAATAACCAGCAAATTAAATTAATCCAAAATGATAATAATTGTTCATATGGAGAACAATTGACCCGGTCTGCCTCTTCAGGTTTGCAGCAGTCACTTGGCAGCTGCGGATTTCGCTCTTTCCATCCATGCATGTATCCACGCTTTAACTTGTTCTTCTCCTTCTCTTCTGCAGTCCAAAGCGGAGCAACGAGAAGCGAAACCGCGAGCACGAGAACAAATACATCGAAGAGCTCGCCGAGCTGATCTTCGCCAACTTCAACGACATCGACAACTTCAACGTCAAGCCTGACAAATGTGCAATCCTGAAGGAGACTGTGAAGCAGATCAGGCAGATCAAGGAGCAAGGTACGACCTCTCGGTGTCAGTGTTCAAACCTTACCTGAGATGCACCGATGTTTCTATCGCACCGGTCCTGATTATCGTTATTGAGAGCATGCACAAACCGTTTGTGAGTTATCTTTTATGGAAAGTGGAAATGCAGTTGTGTTTCACTTAAGACAACAACTTTCATTATTATGCGTACAACAGTCAGACTTGTACTTCTGTTACGACAACATGTTACGGTTAATTTTACCCTGAAAAAAGTCTGATGCACGACTTAATATTTCAATCTGTTGAAGTGCAAAATGTAAGGCGACATGTCTCAAAGACCAGCAGTGAAAAGCTTCCTTCCTCTCATGCTTCTCTGCATAAATACCAAGCCGAGCCTAACTCCTACAATCTGACCCAACTCTGTTTTGCTGTGAATTCCTAGTAATATTCTTAATTGTATTCCTAGCATGGGCGTAATTTCCACTGGGGACAGGGGGGACATGTCCCCCCCACTTTTCAAAATCCCATTTGTGTCCCCCCCACTTTTTAAATGTGTTTATTATTATTATTTTTACGCGAGCGGTCATCGTCAAGGAGGAGCGTCTGTGTGTGTGTGTGGCACGAGCGCATCTTGTGAGAGAGAGATAGACACAGAGAGAGATAGACGGTTGTTGTTAGCATTTGGTGCTAGCTCGGAGCTAACGGAGATTAGTAGCTGTTTCAACAATAAGGAGAGGGAGAGCTCTTTCCTGTCGGACTTTGAGAGAGTGAGAGAGAGAGACACAAATATATATATATAGAGAGACAGAGACAGAGAGAGAGACTGAGAGAGTTACGTGGGTTGTTGTTAGCATCTGGTGCTAGCCCGGAGCTAACGGAGATTAGAAGCTGTTTCAACAATAAGGAGAGGGAGAGCTCTCTCCTGTCGTAAAACAGGTTCACATGGATAGGATACTAGATAAGTGTGCACACTCATTATATACACTACACATTTCTCTTGGATTTGTTAACACTATAGTCCCTAATATATTTGTAGAAAGGCAGGAAATGGAATTAAATCGAGAAAATGTTTCATTGCGGAGGACCCCCTGTTTTGTGTCCCCCCCACTTCTCAAACCAAAGTTACACCCTTGATTCCTAGTATAAGGTTTGTAAATGCTCCTATAAAACACACATGCCACAGGTGTCACCGTGTTGGCAGCAGCTTCAGCTTTGCAGGCATTAGGACGATGTCTTTGGGCTCTGCTCCACACACTCATTGATGCTGTGACTAAAGCAGCTGATTAATGTTCCCTCGGTCACTTCATCTGAAATGCACGAAGCAGTTTTGTTGTTGGCCGAGTGTGTTTCCAGACATCAGGAGAAGGGATCAGGCTGTGCACTTGTTCCAACTTTACTCTCCTCATGTTGAGTTTACCTCAGTCCCTTGTAGTTTCCCTTGGCTTCACATCCAGAGTGTTTCTTTGTGAACACGCTGGACTGCAGGCCGTCTCGAGGTGCTCATGAATCACAGAGTCATCTTGTTTTCTGTGACTCACACTCTGTTATGTAATGGTGAGCAATGTGATGCAAAAATCACACACAACTCCCGTCTGTCCTCCCCCTCTTCTTCTTCCTCTTCTTCGCTGTGGTTTCTCAACACGAGGCTGCAGTGACTCCTCTCCTGCGTCTGAAGGCAGGACGTGTGTGTACAGTAAGCGCTGAGAGAGAAACGAGGAGAGACTGCTCGCTTCTCAGCTTCATCCTCAGATATCACGTTTTCTATATCCGAGCTGCTGAGGCGTTTCTGCAGACATGCATTGTTCCTTTTGCCCGAGATGCAACCCTTGATTGATGTCAACTCTTGATTGCAAAAAGGCTCATTCTTAATGTGGAAAATGCCGTTTTCAGCCTCTTAAATATATGATTAAAGTGAATCTGTTTGGACGGACAAAACAAGATATGTAAAGGCTTCATGTTTTTAAATTAAATGACATCTGTAGGTAAACAAACAAACCTTTTTTAAAGTCAAGTTGTTGACCAGACGGCGCTCACGTCATGAAACACTAACTGTGATGCGATATCAACATGCAATATCATTGACGAGTAAACATAAAAAACTACATACCTTCCACCTTATTTTAGTTATCTACAAAAAAACAGATTGAGGTGAAACTAATACGATTTTATAAAAAAAAAATAAAAAAAATGACATTTGATAAAAAATAGCTGATATTTTAATCAATTAATTGAGAAAATAACCAGAAAATGTATTTAAAATGACAGTAATTTGTAGTTGCAACTTGGGATGCACTGAAAGATCATTTAAATATATTTAATCTCAATTTGACATAATGTAAAACCAACATTAGTTCCTTTTTAGGGATGTCCCGATCACCTTTTTTTGCTCCCGATCCAATTCCGATCATTTGATTTTGACAATCTGCCGATACCGATTTTTCCCGATCCGATCTTTATGCAATGCATTAAGAGAAAAAAAAGGTAACAGATAACGGCTGGTCATCCAACGCGATGAATTCAGCTATCTTGGCTGTTATGTTTTTGGCCTTTTCACTGTTCTGGGGCAGTTTCTCTTTCCTTTTCAAAGTCTCTGAAAGTGTCGGTTGTTTCAGTGCCGTTACCTGAGTGGCCGCTGTGTACTCGTCGTGTTGTTGTTGGTGTTTGTATTAGATTGGTCGTGTTGAACGTAGCTCTGTTCTTTCCACCACGCGGAACCTCCGCCTTGCAAACATTGCATCTGGCTGTTACACTGCCTTCGCTTTCAATTTTATAATACTTCCAAACTCCTGACATTTTCTCTGTCCCGACTCCCGAGGCACCAGCTGAACGTAGCCTCTCGTTACACCAGCTGAACGTAGCCTCTCGTTACACCGGCTGAACGTAGCCTCTCGTTACACCGGCTGAACGTAGCCTCTCGTTACACCGGCTGAACGTAGCCTCTCGTTACACCGGCTGAACGTAGCCTCTCGTGTACACCAAGACTCTGAACGTAGCCTCTCGTTACACCGGCTGAACGTAGCCTCTCGTTACACCGGCTGAACGTAGCCTCTCGTTACACCGGCTGAACGTAGCCTCTCGTTACACCGGCTGAACGTAGCCTCTCGTTACACCGGCTGAACGTAGCCTCTCGTTAGCTTACTGCTACTATTAGACACTGCGCCCACTCTGTTGCCAGATTTGAGAGAAATAAGCAACCAGGTCTATGAAAACAAGCCCTCAGGATGACTTTAAGACGTGAACATGGTCATTTTTGTTTTGTAACATTAAATAAAATACAAAAAAATTATCCCGATCCCCGATTGTTTTCTCCCGATTCCGATCTTTTGAAAATCATCGGATCGGGACATCTCTAGTTCCTTTCATGGTCCGTTATTGTTTCCCCAGTGTTCAAAATACTTGTTTATGGAGACATTACTGAATACTCTATAGTAGATTCTGCACATATTAAATCAGAGTGTATCTGTGAGCGGATCACTCTCTTGGCTTGTTTGCAGTTTGTTGGTTTTTAATCGACAATATGTTGAGTTATGAAATCTTTATATACAGTTTAACAGCTACACTGTGAACCTCACGCTGGTGCCACATCAGACATTAAATATGTGTTGATGCACTACAGTACGTTAAGAGGCACACACATGTGGTGTATAGCAAGCTAGATAGCCCCGGTTATCTAGCCCTTTGTTTTGTTTAATGTATACCATGTTTATCTAGGCCCTTTTTGTTTGATGTATATATGTCACACTGTAGGACTGCGGGAAACGAGATTTCGAGATTTCTGTACAACATGTAGAATTCTTGACAATGAAGCTGACTTTGACTTTGACTTTGAAGTGTTATAGATTATAGGGGTAGGTAAAACAATGCTATCTTTTACGGTAAGATCTTAATCAATTTCACTATTTCCAAAATTATTTTTAAAGGCTTTTATAGAAAAATAAGTTAGATATTGAAACCTCAAATTAAGCATCATTTTGTGATTTATTTCAGAACCCAAAATACACTTATTTCGTGCATAATTTATTCTTTTAATTGGCACATTTGTGGGAAATAAAAGGGCAGCTAGCGTAAGCCTACAATTATATTTATGTGACGGGTATCATTTGTAGAATTGAAGGGTTTGTATTCAGTGAGGATTGAGGAAACATTTGCACGTTAAGCATCATAAATGTTCCCTTTTTATCTCAGTGTTACCCTTGTGTGTTTACATTGCTGCTATCAGTTGATATAACCTTTAACACATTTAGAATTAACGCTATCACATATTAAAACAACCTCGTGTGTGCACAGCGGACTGCAGTAGATCCTGATATTAAGATAAGATGTACTTTATTATCCAGCAGCAGCATTAAACAAAACAAGGCATTGCCCAGAGTAACAAATTAAAAGAGTAGAAATAAACAATTCTGAAATAGAAACATCTCAAAATAGAAATAAACCAGCATTAGAGAGTAAGAAAAATATACAGATGACTGAAGATATAAAAAAAACTGTCTGACAAATAAAAACACAGTTGAAGATGATATTTACATAAATATAAAACTAATGTAATCCAGGATTGTGAATAGCTTCGTGACCCAGAATCGTGAGTTACTGAAAGACCAAATATACTGTCTGGTAGTTCCTACAGATATGATGTTAATCCTCTATGGACTCTGACTGTGATTGATGGGTCCTTCTCGGGGCCGGGTGCCGCTGTTTGGGCCCCGCTGGGCTCCTGCTGCTGCAAACATCATTAAATGTGAAGGAGATGGATGTGTCTGAGAGCGAGAGCGAGAGCACACACCCCTACACCCAGAAAACACAAAACAAAACAAAGCAAGGACAGGATGTTTGCTTTCCAGCGCCGCGCTCTGTCACCATATGGTCAGCCCTCGTGTTGGCATGGTGCGACAGTTAAATGTGTCCCCCCCCTCCTCTCCTCCCCTCCCCTCCCCTCCCCTGCACTGCAACACCAACTCATATTCCGCCTCTCATCATCGTCTCCAAAAGTAGGGCAGCCTACGCTCAGCATAAGGCTCGCTGTGTGCTTATTAAGACACACACACACATACACACACACACACACACACACATACACACACACACACACACACACACACATACACACATACACACATACACACATACACACACACACACACACACACACACACAGGGACAGTGCAGGTACACGCGCACACACACACAGGGACAGTGCAGGTACACACACACACAGGGACAGTGCAGGCACACACGCACACACACACACACACACACACACACAGGGACAGTGCAGGCACACACACGCACACACACAGGGACAGTGCAGGCACACACGCGCACAGGGACAGTGCAGGTACACACACACACGCGCACACACACACAGGGACAGTGCAGGTACACACACACACACAGGGACAGTGCAGGCACACACACGCACACACACAGGGACAGTGCAGGCACACGCGCGCACAGGGACAGTGCAGGTACACACACACACGCGCACACACACAGGGACAGTGCAGGTACACACACACAGGCGCACACACACACAGGGACAGTGCAGGTACACACACACACGCGCACACACACAGGGACAGTGCAGGTACACACACACACGCGCACACACACACAGGGACAGTGCAGGTACACACACACACATACACACACACACACACACAGGGACAGTGCAGGTACACTCTCACACGCTCACACACACACAGGGACAGTGCAGGTACACACACACACATACACACACACACACACACACACACACACAGGGACAGTGCAGGTACACTCTCACACGCTCACACACACACAGGGACAGTGCAGGTACACACACACACATACACACACACACACACACACACAGGGACAGTGCAGGTACACTCTCACACGCTCACACACACACAGGGACAGTGCAGGTACACACACACAGGGACAGTGCAGGTACACACACACGCGCACACACACACAGGGACAGTGCAGGTACACACACACGCGCACACACACACAGGGACAGTGCAGGTACACACACACACGCGCACACACACACAGGGACAGTGCAGGTACACACACACACAGGGATAGTGCAGGTACACACACACACATACACACACACACACACACACACACACACACACACACACACACACACACACGGACAGTGCAGGTACACTCTCACACGCTCACACACACACAGGGACAGTGCAGGTACACACACACACGCGCACACACACACAGGGACAGTGCAGGTACACACACACACGCGCACACACACACAGGGACAGTGCAGGTACACACACACACACACACACACACACACACACACACACACACACAGGGACAGTGCAGGTACACGCTCACATAAAATCGTTGACGAGTAAACATAAAAAACGTGACTAAATATATTTTATTTGTCACCTTGTTATTTGACTTGCCTTCATAAAAACAGATTACGGAGAAACTAATACGATAATTGTTTGAAGTCTACCTTAAAGAGCTGACTTTTTAATCATTTCTGACTTTTTAATCAATGAATGGAGAAAATAAGCAGCAAATGAATCCAAAAGGAGAATCATTCTTTGTTGCAGCCCTACCTGTTGAACCAGGGAGGCAATGAGAGATCTTTAATACAGATTCATTCTCAATGGTACCTAATGTAAAACCAATATGTGTTCCTTTCATTGCATCTCATCAGGTCACACACACTCACACTAGGGATGCATATCGTTGACTTTTTTACGATACCGATACCGATACCACTGAACGATACCGATACTCAACCGATACATATCGTGATACTTTCATGTTGCATAAGGGAAACATTTTATCATCCCGCAATTACTCCCATGAAGCGCTTTATTATATAGTTAACATGTCAAATGAATATTAAATTCAATTGTGGGACTTGGACCTTTTAGTACTGAACAAACAATGAAAAACACATTATCTATGAAGAAAACTGATTCTGCAATATCATTTATAACAACCATCAGGTGGGAATAGTACATCTTGTCAATGGAAAAATAAAATAGCACCAGTGTAATTAATATTCAACCTGAGATTTGACTGACCAGAGAACACATAAAGGATCATGAGATCTCGGCATTGCACATAAAACAAATAGCATCCTTAAAATCAACATTTGCCTGATGAAAGAAAACAAATCCCATCACAGTTCAGTTTTGTGCATTCATCTTCAAGAAGATGAGCATATCTGCTCTCTGGATCCAAACGGGCCCTTTCGCAGCGTAGGATATCACCTGCTGAACTGAACACTCTCTCACTTGGCACGCTGCTTCCCTGAACACAAAGGTACTTGGTTGCCATACGAGACAGCATTGGTTGGAGATTGGATGTGTTGCCACCTTTCCCAGAAATAAACTTCTTGCAGTGGTTACAGACCCCACCATTCAGACTGGCAGTGGTTACAGACCCCACCATTCAGACTGGCAGTCATATGCAGCCACACTTTAGATTTTCAAAAGTGACTTGGTTGCGGAGTTTCACTGCGAAATTGACATCGTAAAAAAAAAAAAAAAAAAAAAAAAAAAAGTATCGAAAACCGGATCTGATTTCGGTACGGTATACCGTAGCCACCAGTAACCGGTATTTCGGTAATACCGGGAACCGGTATGCATCCCTAACTCACACACTCCTCAGGTATCATTACACGTTTTTATTTAAACATGTGTACAGACAAGTGAAACTGATAATGCCAACATTAAACAATGACCTACGGATACATTGAATGACCTCAGATGCTTAATAAGTAGGAAAAGGACTCTGAACGTTATGGTTTTTCGTAACTATAACCTGAGGGCTTGAAGATGCTTAAAATGTCACCCTATACTTCAGAAAAGGAGGATTTCCACAAGTTTAAACACATTTAAAAAACACCTTCACGTCCTGCTCGCTATACACACACTCAGAAATCCTATATATGTGTGTGTGTCACACGCTGGGGAGTTATGAGACACCGCTGGTTGGAAAATAAGACTCTCAAAGACAGTTCGTAGTTTAAATCCCTCCGACAAAAT